CACTTTTACGGAAGACTGTGTGTACTATGACGAGTCATCATTTAACCGAACATTTCAAAATACCAAAAATGCCTTTTCTTTAATTCATTTTAATACGAGAAGTATAATCAACAAACAAGATGACCTTAATTTGTTTTTCAATCCATTATGTCTAAATTTTGATGTCCTTCTTTGTACGGAGACTTGGGTCCCTTAAGATGTAGAACCTCCTGGTTTTGTTGGTTACAAATGTGCGTGCTCGGAAAGAAAAAATAGAAGAGGAGGTGGTGTTGCCATTTACCTTAATGATGATATATCGTGGTATGTACTTGATGAGTTTTCTATGATCACCACAGACGTAGAGTGTCTCGTCGTTCATGCTGGAAGCGTCATTATTGGTGTTGTATATAGGCCTCCCGCGGGAAGTAAGTCTGTTTTTCTCTCGATTTTTGAAGACCTTCTTGATTTTCTCGGTTCGACTGCTAAACCATTTCTTGTTATGGGCGACGTAAATATAGATCTACTTGGAAATGAAAGTGACTCTATTGAAATAAAATATGTCTTGGCTGCTTGTGGGGGTATAAATACGGTGGCACTGCCTACCAGAGTGACTTCTGAACGGTGTAGCTCTATCGATGTTTGTATAACAAATCTAAACTTTAATGAGGTCTCATCAGGTGTTTTCAAACATGATCTCAGCGACACTTACCTATTTTTTTGTCTCTCGGCTCTTCATAGAAAGATGGGTGACACTTATAATGAAACTTTCAGTTACACGAGAATAGATGAAGAATCGTTGAGAAGGTTTCGCGACAACATTTCTGTCACGGACTGTAACAGTGAATATTTAGAAGAAAACCCGAATCTTGCGTACGCCAGTTTTCTAAAAAAATTTCAGCATTGCTACGACAGGGCTTTCCCACTGAGACAAATTAACAAGCGGAGAAATAAATTTCGTAAAACTTGGATGACTCCCGATTTATACACACGCATTAAAGAAAAAATACAATGTACCACGACTTTCTTAAGTGTAGAGACCAAGAACTTCTTGCTGCATTCAAGAAATATAGAAACAAACTAACCTCTGATTTAAAATATGCCAAGCAAGAATACTACAAGCACCTGTTTTATCTCGTTCGGAGTGACCCCAAAAGATATGGGAAGCCGTAAACACCTTAACAAATAAGCATAGTCATTCCCAGGATATAAATCACGTGATTATTGATGGGAATCATATGAGCGGTATAGAACTATGTAATTCGATGAACGAGTATTTCGTAAATGTTGGTGCACCTTTAGAATCCGACAATGAGCCCTTACGCGGCGGCATGATGACCACGCATTCTATAGCACATTCGATAATGTTATCACCAACCACCCCACAAGAAATAGAAGGTATTACAAATAAGATAAAAATAATGTAGCCCCTGGCGTAGACGAAATAAAACCCGCTCCCATTAAATGTGTTTCTTAATTATAAGTAACACCTTATCCCATATCATAAATTGTACTCCAGAATCGGGTATATTCCCAGACCTCCTAAAAATTGCTAAACATACCCCTGTCTTTAAAAGAGGGAAACCGTATGTACAAAATTATAGACCTATATTAGTCTTGCCAATATTTTCGAAAATATTTGAGGGAGTTATACAAAGGCGATTATATATCAGTTTGTTTATAAAGCATGATGTCATAAACAAATCACAGTATGGTTTCCAAAAGGGCAAATCATCAGAGCAGGCACTTGTTGAGACGAAAGATAAAATAATATATAACATGGAAAATAAATTATACACACTGGGAGCTCTTTTAGAGATTAAAAAAGCTTTCGACACGATTCAACACCCCAAATTATGCTAAGTAAACTTAAACTGTTCGGAATACGAGGAGTAGCTTTGGCTTTAATAAAACATTATCTAACATATCGCCTCCAATTCGTCAAAGTTAACAACTCTGTCTCAACCACGTTAGAAGTAAAATATGGTGTCCCCCAAGGTTCTATCCTAGGCCCCTTGTTGTTTTTTCTTTATATAGATGTCATTACTGCTATTCCCCTAGATCTCCAGTACTGATTATATACGCAGATGATACCAACGCATTTTTCGCCTCTGCCTTCAAAGGATCCCTAGAGTCAATGGCAAATAGCTATCTCGCTGAATTTAGCAGTGTGGCTCCATAAAAATAAACTGCAACTAAATTCTAAGTAAACCAAGTATATAATTTTTGCTCCAATAAACAAACATGATAATACTCCTATTACTCAATATTTCGAAAACACAATTATAGAGCAAGTCCCCAAACAAAACCTTTTAGGCGTTTGGTTTAACCAGGAGCTTAGCTGGAATGCACATGTAAATAAGTTGACTGCTGAGCTTTCTCAGGCAGTTGGATGTTTCTATAAAAGAAGAAACCTGATCCCTACATGGTTAAAAAAACAAATTTATTACTCTCTTTTTTACTCAAAGTGATGCTACTGTATTTTAGTATGGGGGGGGGGGGGGGGGGGTACCACCACGCTCACAAACTACAGTAAGATTCTTAAATTACAGAAGAAAATTTTGCTGTTATTTGAAAGTTACACGGAAAATATGCAAAACCTTCCAACTGAGCCATTTTTAAAAAACACAGTATACCAAGGCTAACTAAGTTTATGATTTCAAGTTAATGCAACATATCAAAACTGAGGAACTTTATGATAAAACTACAAGTGATGTAGTGCACAGATACACCTTTCGGCACTCTTTAAGACGACCTCCACAGATTCGAACAAATTACGGAAAGCAAACTAAAGATTATCAGGTGTCCAAATTATTAAATTTAATTGGGACCTTCGTGGGCTTTAATAACTCCTTTTCTAAATTTAAAAAAGAGGTGAGGACACTCCTGGTGGGCAGTGACACTGTTCTATAGCCATTTTTATACATGTACAAATTGATGGTTTTTATCTCTGAACTTGTGAAAAAGTTTCTTTCATAATCTATATAACTGGTTGCGATTTTCTCTTGATGATGTATTATAAAGCCATGACATTATTTGAATTGCTGATTGTTCTACAGCCGCATAAGTGTATAGTATACTGTGTACCGTATGTACGAACTGCAAAGGGGACAGAGACCTTCGTCAGGCATTGTCTGCCTTTAGTCTCTGTTCCTCTTTCGGTTGATCCGAAAGAAATAAAGACTTCAAATTCAAATACACTCCAAGATTTATAGCACACTTTATAAAGACAAATGTTCAGATATCTTGTTAACTAATTTTTTTAATCCACCCCAGCCTGGCTCGAAGAGTGTTTATTCATGTAACACACAGTTAGAAGAGTTCCAACGTCATCTACCAACAGAAATCGACAAGAATACGGAAGTAGACACGGTCTTTTTATATTTTAGCAAAACATTCGACACGGTACGACATAACCTACTACAGACTGAATTAGTCTCTATAAACATTAACAGGAAGGTTCAGAATTGCATTAGAAATTATTTCAGGTGCCGTGAACAGTATGGTAAATGGAAATCAATCCTCAGCCGTCTATGTGATCTCAGGGGTCCCTAGGCGCAGCGTTCGTGGACCGTTGCTGTTTTTAATTTATGTCAATGATATTATAGAAAATATTCAGTCAATGATAAAAAAATTTGCTGACGATATTGTTATATACACGGAATTAATTTCAGCAAGAGAGGTAAGGAAAACACAAAGCGATCTACCTAAAGTAGCATGCTGGTGTAACCAACTTAAAATAAGCCTAAATATAACCTCGTCAATTTTGCAAGAAACGTTTCTAAATTTCCTACAACTTATACTTTCAAATACCAGAAAATAAGTAATATCTCTAAATATAAATGCGTTTATTTTCACCGATCACTCGAAATAAACAGATAGATTATGCAATCAATAAGGCCAGTAAATGTTATTCTTTATCCGTAGACATTTCAAAGACGAGTGCTGTGACGTGGAGGAAACCCTTTGCGTTTTACAAGTGCGGTCCATACTTGATTATGATATTTTTATATGGGATCCCTGCCAGCAGTATCTGATCGATAGATTAGAAAAACTTAAAAATCAAGCAGCTTATTTGTTAGCAAAAACTGCAATTCATAGGCTAGTTTGACGGAGGTCAAAGCGGTGATTGGTTGAGAACTTTTAAACAATTGAAGGCAAACATTAAGACTGAATTTTGGTCATCGCATTCATTTTAGCGATATAATAAGAATGAGTGTCTTTTGGGGCCAACGTACGTTTCAGCAAGGATTGAAAACTCTAGAAAGGTTTCTGTATATTTTTCTTCATAAAACGACCAAAATCTGTAATTCTATTTTTTTTAGCAATGAGAGAGTGGAATTTGCTGTCAGCGGAAGTGGTGAGCACATTGGACAATAGTGTATTTTATTTTTTTCGGCTGTATAACTAATCGTGCGGACAAGAGTCTATTTTGTAATTTTGTGTGTGTGTTATTTCCTGCCCCTCCTACGATAATGCCTTCGAGGCGCTGTATGTGTTCTGTAATGAAAAAAATATTAAATACGTGTATTCATGTAATTTCACGTGTCTTTGAACATTTTAAGGTGTACATGTAAACACGAGCTGGCAGTTCACCACAGAAAAGGCTTCACAGTTCTTTGCTGGCATTATGGAAAATAAAACAGAAGAAAACAAGCGAGAAAAAGATAGAGCATTGTTATAATTATTATAAACTGATGTTGTGCTTTCTTTTTGAGTTATTTAGGTATTTCTTTCTTTCTTTCTTTCTTTATTTCAAACTACTGCCATACCTATTGGGATTTCTGCAGGTATTGGGACAAAGGAAATATACATCAAGAGGTAAATATCAATAAAAACAGAAAAGCAAAAATATCGTGTAGTTCGTGTAACTGTAAAAACATATAAATTAAAAATTGACAAAGTAGTTGTTTTTCAACTTCATCACTAAACAATTCAACATTTGTACAACTAAAAAGTGTCTATCTAAACTGTTCCATTCTCTTATGGCTGGAACAGTTCAGGTATAAAGGTTTTATACTTACCTTTGAAAAGCGAGGAGCTGTTCTGCGCTGCATACCGAAAACATATGGTAACTAAGAGCATCATGTACAGGAGCCATAATGTAACCGTCACTAGGTTTGCACTTCGTGGCTCCGGGACTGTTCGTTATATGATTTGGTGCAGCTTGACCGTCGTGGGACATCCCAAGTCTGATAAAAAATAATACCTTCAGCTTTAGTGTAGTTTCTGTTGTAACGGTTATGCACCGCATACAGTTGTTCAATGTATGAATCAAGTAATAAACCCATAAATGTAGCATTAAACTCACATATAAATCACCTTAAATGTATATTCTGCTTGGTCAAAAGTAAAAAACAGAAACACAGTTTTGGTTTTTTTTCATTTTAGCCGAATTCAAAACAAATGTATATATACTGCGTATATAGACTCAGTTCATTGTCAGCAGTTTCTGTTTTATATTTGTGAAAAATATTTATTAGTAAAGTACGACGGTGATATTGCTTTAAAGCCAGGCGTTCGTAGAGCGCAACGAGCGCCGTTCAGAAAAACGTCTTTGTTAGGCAGTGACCTTCCAAATATCAATGGCCTTCCAACATACGTCGCTGAGCTTTATGGGTTTTAGGGTGCAGTGACATTGTACCGTACAGGAATATATTTAAGTTAGTCTATTATCAGATTTTTAATACTCCTAACTAAACTGCAATATTGGTGCAGCAAATTTGCATGTTTTAAGTGAAACGTCAGTGATCAAGATATTACATCTTCGGAAACAAGGAATCTTCGGGACGTATTGATATTGAAGGGTACTATGGTTTATAAACTGCAGCAACCACAACAATTCAGAAATATTTTTAAACAAAAATATTTTGGTCTTAAGTCTTAGCCACCAAGAAGAGTATAACAATCTACAAGATATGAGGAACACTGATTATGAGAAAAAGGAAACTAGGGCTGATCATGAACAACACAAAAGGTAACATTTATCTTGCATTGCAATATTAAAATAATCAGGTTTCGCAGAAACAGTTTTTGTTTTGTCAAATAATCGAATTATTGAAAATCTTTCTTTTTAAATGCATAAAACATGCACGTAAGTTTTGTCATCGTGTAACATCAACATACATTTTATTATGTCAAGCGTATTTTTTGTATAAATCAAGCTAGTTTGCTTATTTGACAGCTTTACATTGCGTTGAATCATGTATCTTAAAATTTTCACGCACTTTTACGACTATTATTTGTTTCGATGTCTGCTGATATTCGGTGAAATCAATGATGTGTAGTGCTGTCAACTTACAAGTGTCCGACCTCGTGAGTGAATGTGTGTGTACCAGTGAACATGTTGGCCTTGTCTTCCACCATGCCCACCTTGGTGTCTCGGCAAGCGCCACCAGCATAGGCGTAACCTTTTATCGAAAAAAAAACAGAAAAAAAATGTTAGTGGAATATTGTATGGTTTAACAGTCGCATTTTCAGAACGCTTTAAAAGAACTTGCTACAATTTAGAACAACAACAAAAAATGCATAACTACAAGCCTAACATTTTGACACTATAGCCCAAGGGTCGGCAACCCACGACCCGTGCGGCAGCTTCATGAGGCCCCCGGCACGGCAGCAGAAAATCACCCTCGCCGCTACCTCACACAGACTCAAGGACCAAACGTCCGTTCTTACATTATGGCGGCAGACAGGAACAAGGAGCACTTCCAATTGGCTTTGTTCGGCATTCCCTCACTTCGGCAAAGAGGTCTTCACTTCCAGCTTGCCTTTTCTTCGCATCCCCCCCCCCCCCCCCCCCCCAATAATCACTTCGCGACCTGTCCGACCCTCTTAGTGTTGGCTTTGTGACGACTCGGCCCGCCGCTGCATAAGGTTGGCGACCCTTGCTTTAGCTTTCCTCATTGTCTTTCGTAAAGCGTATTGCCCATGAACGTTGCGGAAAAAAATGGGAGCCTCAACCAGTACAACCTTTTGTGAAATTACTGTTGCAGTACAACGCAACATTATTGGCCGCTTTTACGTCACAAATACTTCTACCCGATGAAAGCACACTTCACCGGAAGTTAGCAGGAACGTAACATCCCCTTTGGACCTTCATTTTGCTTTTAGGCAGACATTATTTATGAGAAAGCAAACTACAAACACTAGGAGCAACTGTTAAAAGAACTGATGTTTTGTATGGCAGCGATATGTCGGATTTTAGATATTCAAAAGCTTTTGCCATTCCAAAATAGTGTTCAGCATGGAGGACAACCGTTTAAGCACATTGAATAAATATATATTGAAATGTGTGCTCTTAGACGTTTGCGATGTTTTAGGTGTCAGACTTTACTAGCAATCATGAGTTTCTAAAGAATAGAAACTGCCCTAGAGGTGGTGTCACCTCGTGGAATGTTTAGGCAGTTTATAAACAGAAACATCAACAGTGTTAGGATCTTCCGGCATCACTAAAATACGAACTATTTGAGGCAGTTTCTGGGCCGACCTTATTATTTCTAACTTCCCTATTAAATTTAGTTTTTGAAATTTAAATGTCCTGTGTTCCAGAGTGTCATATTATCTCGGCAAGAAATACCGAGTCCGTTTTTTAACACTTGCCTATTAAAATTTTCCGCACGAGCCCTGGAGAGACATAAAAATCAAGACAGGGGAAAAGGGAGGGACAAACACAACGACATATCAAAACGCAGCTGCAAATTCATTCACAGGAGCAACCTCTTATGTAGATGCAACTCACCCCTGCCTTTAAAATGACAACCGTCAACCGTCAAAATGACATTTGTCAAATTTTAAAGCTTTGTTGTTTCAATATTCCTTTATTCCCCAAACATTATTGGATTGGGACCACCTTCCCGCCTCAATAGCTAATACTACTGATATTGCTTTGTTTAAGAGGGTTCTAACTAACATGTGCACATTGTAAATATTATTTTAATGTCCACTCCCCTCTCCATTGTATTACCTTGAGGGTATTTGAAATAAAAATAAACCCCACAAATAAGAAAAGTGGTGCGACCCGTTGCCCCAAAAGGGTGACACAACCGAACCAAAAAAAAAGGTTACATCATGCAAGTAGGAACTCGTCCCCGCTTCCAAAACGACTTTCATCAGCACCACAAACAAGAGAAGTGGAACCGACCCAACAGCCTAAAGAAGTGACCCTGGAAAATAATGATGCAGATAGGAAGGCCCATGTCTCTTTGTTTAAGGCCGCTGAGGGCATGCTTATATAATTGCCAACGCCTGTGGTCCGCAGTTTCCCTTATCAGCCTCTTAAACGGATCCCTTTCCCTTCTAAGTACCCTAGTGTGCCTCTCTTTCAGAAAACGATTGTTACCTTCTTTCACGTATTTAGCAAGTTCAGAATTTGGTGAACAATTCATGACTGCATTATTATATTCCAGAATCATGTCGCTTAGACTACGGTCAGTCTGGTCAACGTAAGAAAAACCACAAGTCAAAGGAATATTGTACACTACTGATTCCTCACAGGTAGTTGCCGGATCTCTATATTTCTTTTTACACACATGGTGACATCTCGAAAAGGCGTAAACCTACTCAACCTGATGTTTTAATACTGTTTGAACTCCATGCTTTTCCTTCGTTGCATTCAATTTGTGCGGGAACGTGTGAAAAAAAAGTAAACAGGTCCAATTATGAACCTTTTTCCGCTTTACAACACTTTGCCCTAAGCTAAACAGAACATTTCGCATTTCACTGGCCAGAACTTTCAAAAAATACCTAGAATTGACAAACCTAGTCAAAGTAAGAGTCGCACTCTCCTGTACATTATGACAACACGATCTGCCTAAGGCGTTCTGGCGAGTGACTGTACCACTCCCTATTTTACCGCCTTGGGGTGGCAACTACTGTAATGTCAAACCGGCTTAGGCGCATCCTTGCCGTAACCGTAGCATAACGCTTGAGATTGAAAATACTTCAAATCTAGAGGCTGGAAACACCCTGTTACACAAATCTCCGAAGTGAAAAGGAGATATGATGCTTGCGCTTTGATAAAAAAAATCCAATCATTCATATCCGGGCCTTTGAACACACAAATGAACATACCCTCTACATACGTCTTAACAATTACACTGTTCGGCACCATAGACTCAATTCTCGCCTGGTCGTCGCTATTTAAAACACATAAATAGATATCCGCTAGAATTGGTGCCAAAGAGAAACCAATACAAACACCCTGTTTTTGTGTGAACAGATTTCCCTCAACCTCCACCGCCGTTGATTTTAGGTGCAATTCAAGCAGACTCATGAAACTGTCGACATCTGTACCCGAAGAAGCCTGGAACTTAACTTACCTATATTATATAAACTGACGCTCCCTATCAAGTGTTACAACAATATCCCACGTATAATACAGGTCATTGATGTCTAAGTAAGCAAGCTTGCATGGTTTCAAATGAAGGGGTCTATTAGAGTAACCAAATCATTCGAGTTTCTCATTGACAACATATTACGAAGGGGAAGAACTTTTAGACATAATTGGAAAAAGTCCTAGAATACTCGTTGCCACATCCCATTCTTATTTATGACAATGCGGAGGGGAGCTTGATGCTTATGATCTTTCACCAAGACTTTAACGGCAGAAACTGCCGCCTTTGTGTTAGTGACCTTCTTTGCAGTTGTTTCAAGCTCACATTCCCTTAGGACATCAACGGCATTCTTTCTAAGCCACCAAATATTATCTTCGCAAGGCTTAAACGAAACACTCAGGGAGTTCTGAACTTTCTCCTCAAAAGAACCACGTGACAAAACATAAAACTCCCCAGTCGTATTCCTTTTCAACAAATTCTTGTTTCATTTCAAGTTTCCCCCGCCTTATGTTTTGAAGGTTCATCATATCAAACGCAAAAGACATATCAACTAATCTTGAAAAAAGCGTAACTGCCTGAGTCTGACATATACATTTTTTTGCTCTCATCCCTAGTTTTACTGTAAATAATCTGTACCGAAGACAGTATATCCAGCCTAAGAGGCTTGAAATTAGGGCAACAATTAGGCCCACCAGCAACCACAGTCTCGAGATTATCGGACAGGAAATTTTAGGTCAGGTTTACAACTCCGCATTTATCTCGCCGAGCCGAGCTCTTGTTGTGCTTGATTGGGATCAGAAATCTTTACACAAGCCATCTACTTTGCACTGCATTCCTTTGTGCCTCGCATACATTCTTAAAGTGTTGAGATTTCAACCCCCACAAAACGCCAAACTCAAAGGAACTTTTGAACTCATTGCCTCTAAATATCGTCCAAACAGTGTCACACACCTGTTGTACGTTCTTGAAATGCTGTGCGGCTGAATTCTTGTAGGAACTGAAAACTCTCTTTTTTGAAGACCAATTCGAGTCCAAAAGGAATATGTGCTTGAACTGGTCCGGATTGATGTACTTTTTTTCTGGGGAACTCCCCAAAGCGTCGTTGGTTGTGTGCATCTGAATTTTTTTCAGCAAGTTGAGCCTTATGCTTGGCCAACTCAAGACAAAAGCTTGACTCATCTATGAGTGCCTCAGGCCTGTTTGCCAAATTCTGAACTCGCTAAACACGTGAAAGGATGCAAACATTGTCTCTCAGAATGGACGCACACTGAGGTACTTAGAAGAGAAAGGGATTCAATTAGGTGGCTGATAAGAGAGACTGCGAATCTCAAGCTTTGGCAACTGTATCAGCAGTCCTCAATGACCTTGGAGAAAGGTACACGACCTTCCTATCTGTATAATATTTCTTTTGCGGGGTCACTTTTTGGGGTGTTGGGTCGGTCCCTCTTTACTTGTTTTGTGGGGCTGTCGGATGTCGTTTTCATAAATGGCTAAAAACCTATCTGTATAATGTGTAACCTTTTTTGATTGGGCTGGGTTACCTTTTTCGAGTGATGATTCATCCTACTTTTCTTGTTTGTTGGGTTGACGGCTGTCATTTTCAAGACGGGGTGAGTTCCGTCTATATAAGAGGCTGCTTCTGTGAATAAGTTTCGCAGCTGAGTTCTGAGATTTCGTTGTGTTTGCCCCTTGTTTCTTATGTCTGGGGATTTTTTAAGTATTAACGTTCATTGTTATTTCTGTTAGAGAGATGTTTACTCTTGTGCAAGATACGTACCTGATGTCCATTCAGATACCACTTTCTGGCTCACTGAGTTATAAAACGCAATGTCGTGTCTGCAAAAAATATACCCTAAGCCAAAACGCAAAACAACTTAAAATTCCTAAAATAGTGTTTAATATGTACCTCATGCAATATGACGCTTAGTTTTATTCCACCAAGTTCATTATGTTGTCGTCTTTAATCTGTCCCTGTTTTATGGCGCGTTTAGTGCGTAATAAACGAACTAGCCCAACACACCAATTAGCTGCTGCAAGTTTATATTTCAAGGGTTATGATGACGGCAGTTTTGTTTGGTTCATATATTACGATGTAACTTTTGGAACTTTAGGCTGCATTTATAAGGCTTTAAATAACATATTTTCATATAGGGTTGTCAAGAACTCAATTTATTTTCACGCGCTCGCGTGCATGTGAGACGCTTCACAAATCCACGAGCTCGTGACAGTAGCTTGGACATTGTTGCAGTACACTATGTATTGAGCGAATTTGAACTACTCAGTATGCAATGCAGTTCATGTTAATAAAATAAATTACAAATAAAAACAAACATTTATGTTTGTAGATATAAAAACATAACATGTAGCTAATGTGTCAGAAAGGTATTACATTTTAAAATACATTTTTTCTCTTCATTGGGTGCAAGAAATCGGAAGAATAGACACCACCATAAACAGGTTTTGTGAATATTATTTCCCCCGAAGTAGAAGAAACATTCGTTTGCTATGATTCTCACGTACTCTGTATTTTGCAAGTTTTATAATCTGTGGGTTGCGTCAAAGTTAAATCGATTGGCACTTTGCGCTTAGGCGCAAAAAACCTTCTAGATTTCAGTGTTTTCTTTTTTGCATGAACCGTATTGTTGCAACATATTCTACGTAACGGGAGGCTCCTTCTATGAACATTAATTCATTTTGCTACGGCATAGAACAAGTAGAATCTAAGAAAGGACAAGGGTAGCCTACAAGAGGGAATATAAATATTATTCATTCTAGTTATGCCGGAGTACCAGTTAATGCAGTAGAAGGGTACGGTATCTAGACGTTTGACACAAGTTTCTGGTGAGCAGTGCCAGCAAATACTAATTTTGGGCTTTGAGATCAGTAGAACTTGAGCAGAAATTTCTTATGCAGTAGCAAAGGCATAGTTCATGCTAGATTAGTGTGGAGAGTTTGTCGTTCGACCCACTATGGAATAGTTTTAAGAGCTTTGCAGGTTGAGTACATACCCAGTTAGTAATATCACGAGGTCATCAGTTTTAAATTCGCTTCTTGTTGTGATAAAGTTCTTTAATTCGGCTAGGCTGTCTGTCAGTATTACGTTTTCATTTTTTGGTGCCTTCTTAACGAACGTTTCGCTTGTTTCCTGAAATGGTTGTGATCAGATGTATATCAATTCATCATTTATATTTCAAGCGGAGCGTATGGCGCGTGCTGTACGGCTAATAGTGTCTTCAAAAATGTATCGCTTAGATCGTTAATGTGCACAAAAAACTACCTTTACGGAAGACCAGCTAGTTGTGTCAACCAACCAAATTGCTTTATGTTCCAAAAATTGACGCAAAATAGCCAAACGGGATATTTATTTGTCATTTTTAACGCAATAGCGTTAGTGAGCTCGTGTCGCAGAAAAGCTGGCATCGCTGGCGTGACAGAAAATCCGGCGTCGGTGGCGTGACGCGAAAATTCCGGTTGGTCGCTAGGGTTATGACGTCACAGCCCTATGACGTCGCGCGAGAATTTTAAACAACCCACTACACTCATGCGAAATGTGACGTCACATGTGGAATGAAAGCATTGAAAAACGTGGCATTTAATGTGGATTAAAGATCACCGCATCTCTAAAATAATTTCACTTTATAAAGTAATGCATTCACATAAAAAAAAATTAAAAAAATTTGAGTGGTATTCGAATCAACGACCCTTGGGTTGCGAGCCACAATATTGACTAGGTCACGCAAGGTGCGCTTGCACGGTGAATGAGAAGGCGATGCGATCGGGGCCAGGTAACGCTATCGCGCTCCAGTGTTAAAGGTGAAGCTTAAGCGTCCTCCAAGGTTTTTTCTTCCTTACCCTTCACACAGAACTGTACAGAATTTCTCTTTCAGGGACATAATGGAGTACATCCCAGGAGTAAGAATTGATAAAAATCACCTTCACATTGTGATCGTTGCATTTTCTAATTCGGTATTTTGCTCAATGTTCACATCCTTATTACGTACAGTTCTTGTCACGCACCTATATTGCACTATGCTGTTGGCTTCAATATAAAGAGGTTTACAATCATCATGCCCAGTTCCTCAATTCATCATTTTTGACAGATAGTTTTGCTCAGTCTTTTAGCTCTTCAATATTTGCCTAGCGAGACCTTATAAATTCCCACCTTCACAAAGGAACAACCAACTAAACACGACAAAAGCTATATGTATGTATTATGACAGAAATCGACAAAACAAAAGGGGCAGAAATTGTGAATAAAGCTTCAGAATAGAAGCTGCACTTCGTCTGAAACATGTCATGAGCAATCCTAAACCTGCAGAAATGTTTCAGGTCGTGAAAAGAAATGTCGCTTCACTCACCGTATAGGTCGTAATTTTTGCAATGACAAGCTGTACGTCAAGCGGTTCTTCCAGAGTTTTAAATTTTAAATTCACCTGTAATAGTACGACACACGTATATTTAATTTATTTATTTACTTCTTTATTCATTTATGACATAACTACTCTACTAAAATGTTACATTTTTATCAAGTTTTCAAAATAACCTAACTAAAATATATTCTCGTTGATCTGCACGGACCCACTAGAGGTTTTACTCTAAATACTCAACTCGCTTCTCTAAAATAATAATAATAGACCAGTGCTTATGCGCTTCTCTGTGTATAACTTTAGTGTGTACAACTAGCAATGACTGATATTATACCCAATATTCTGAACCAACCGAAGGTGTAGACTTAATGGTCATGCAATAATCCCTTATGAACAAACTGTCATTTTTCATTCCCATGAACAGTACCAATCAAACGAACTCAGAGCGAACAAAATTGTATGGCAGTGCGCCTCCATTTCGTGATTGGGCAATCCAAGCTCCATTTATTATACGCTCTAAAAAGTCGCAAAACTGTAGCGAATACTTACAAAGGCAGCGAATATAGCATAATAGCTGGCGATACTTTCTGTGTTATTAAATTGTTTTGTAAGCTTCGAGTCGATTAGGAGGTGAACCTCTGGTGTAATTATGACCTTGGTCCCTGTATAAAAGGCATTTAAAAAAAATGTTGCTGTAGCTTACTTCTTATAATTAGCACATTTTTCTTTCTATAAGTCAGGGAGTTTAATGATGGAGTGAGCTGACCGCAGTTTGGAGCATATTAACCGAGAGCTACCGCAACAAACACAGGAATCCTGTGTTCAATCCTCGCCCCTGTCCGTTTTGATGTGGATGAGCACTGTACCGGCGTGCTGTCGTGTATCACTACTCACTGATGCATGTCAAGGACCTCAGGCTATTGCTGTCGTAGAGCAATAGCCAAATTTATCATCTACACCGGAGAGACCAGTCTCCCATTGGAGACTAGCTTGCCGCTATATAAACGAACGCAAAACACAGTTACTTGTGTCTATATGTTAACCATTGCATGAGTCGCATCCTTGTATAAATGGACCTTTTCACGAAAAAGTTGGTATATATGTTGCACTTTTGTACGATTGACGCAGCGAAACTGCATTGTCACTAGACGCGCATATGTGTATTGTGGTCGCGATATACGCAAACGCTAGAGTCAGTTTCAATATTCTGGCCGACCAATCGAACAGAAAGCGTAATTTTACGTGGGCCTACATCTTGCACATTTGAGACATGTAAAAATGACATAAACGTCGCACCGTTATATAAGGCGCGTGAAGAAAATCTAAAAAAACAAACGTGACTCATAGATTGGAAAATACTGTAATATAAACGTACCACATCCCCCACTTTGAGTACGGTAAATAGCCCATAGTATTAATGTTGATAAAAGTGTACATAACTGGTGCAGCAATAATTTGTTTGCTGAATCCAGAAGGTAGTTTTAGAACAAAGATGGCAATATAATACGACACTATAGGTGCAGTATAGAACAGGAAGAGGAGCTAACACTTTGGGAGACAGCTCGTTTCAACACGGGCGATTTAAAATATTCAACGTGATTTCCTGGTGATTCAATTGGCTCTGGTGTTCTTTGGACATATATTCCCTTATTTGGGAGGATTAACTATGGAGTGTTGGTTTGCTGCATAAAATTTAAAACAGCTTGTCTTTTCAAAAGTGGGTTATTCTTAATTTAAATGCATCTAGCATAGTTGAGATGATCATATCCTATCTGCAAGTGCACCAAATTTATATTTGTACATGCAAGTTATTTACAACATTATACTAGTACAGACATAGCGGGTAAAATCTAGAACGCTAAATTGACCTTCAGAAACAGGCGGAGGTCAATATATGTGTGGTCTCCAGGAAGGATAAAGAACAAATACTGATTACGATTTGCGCAAATTCTGCTTTTCTCATTTATGTGTCATTACGTGCATGTTTAATACTGTAATTTATTGTTTCAAGTCGCGATCTATCTTAAAAAAATTACGCAGTTATTTTAATTGTAGGTTAATTATTTTTTAGTTATTTTATTTCAGTGATCTCAAAACGAAATCGGATGATTTTACGTCTTAGTAGGTACTGAATATATTATTGTCATATTGTCAGAAACTGGACTTCATGACGACATTGCAAATAATGAATACATTACATCTTCCTATACAGTCTTTCGTAGAGATCGTGAATATACTTTTGGAATAAAATATGGAGGTGGTGGGCTAACAGCTGGCAAAGAGTCACTGAATGCTCATAGGCGAAATGAGTTTGTGACGTGTCAAGAATCGACTGGGTCGAGATACCGCCTGGTGAAGGGTTTAACTTTATATTTGAAGCATAATATTCTTCCCCCGCTTCAGATGCTGCTCACTTTGACGGCAACTTTAGTTTTCTTGAAAACGAAATTGACGTGACAAGATATCGCGTGCAGCTATACGGCGATTTTGGTGCACGGAAAATTGGCTGGATTTCCGCTCGCATTAACAGAAAAAGCTCCTGCACACGTCAAAAAGCCTATTGTTTGTTCGGCTTTATAGATTTCAACGATTTTACGCTATACATTATGGTCGCAAACTTTCCCGGCAATATTTTGGACCTGGTTCTATGTAACATTCCTATTTCGGAAGCGAGTCGGGTGGACGACCCGCTGCTTACTGTCGACGCTTATCACCCTTCACGTACAGTCTCGTTTTTTTTTCTCTTTTTGATGTATTGGTTTTCTTCTGGTGCACACACTTCGGTACGCATACAACTCTGTCGATCACTTTGGTTTATACAAATATTTTAAGCATTACAATCAGACTGATGTCTTACAATACTCTGATGTAGATTCAATAGTGGATAGTTTCACAGCGGTTTTAAGTGTTGTCATGAATTTGTCCCTTCCTCAGTTTCACAATCGTCCAAAAAGAACCCTAACTGGTTTTCACAAAAAATTACAATATTACTTAAGATTAAAATTACATTATCATAGATTATATAAAAAACGCGACTGGGCTGATGGTATGAAAAATAAAACATATGTCAAGATATAACAAAAACGCTGCTCGCTAGAGATGAGTATTACTGCCGCAGACTGGTGGAGCGTGAATTAAACAGAAGATTAAAGAATTTTGGCGCTATGTGAAAAATCCAATTATTAAAAGTCTAGGAATACAACTCTGTGCAACGTGTCAGCTATCCAAAATGTCTCCCAAATTCGCTTGTGGGTTGTTTTTTCGCATCATTTCAGTTCATGCTTTTCCAATGTAACAACTCCTTTGCCGTGACATGCAACATTAATTTCGATGATTATTTACCTTTTACTTGTATTATGGTTCAAGAATTGATTGTAGCTATTCGGAAACATAATTTTAAGCTATTCACACGTTCAGATGGTATTCCCAACTTTCTGGGAGAAGGGTGTGTCGAATGCTTTGCTCCTGTTCTTGAAAAAGTGCTCACTTATCAATAGAGGGCGCTATCTTTCCAGATAATTTATCTCTTTATCAATGTACTTTCAAATGTGTTTGAGAAGGTGTTGTACAATCGTTTAAATCACTATTTTAAAATAAAGTTTGTTCCTGTACGTCATGGTTTAGAAACAGGCAGATCTGTTGAGAATTATTAGCGCACATTTTTTTTATCTTGCTTTGCCAGTTGTTCAGAGTCGGGGTCAAGTAGACATAATATATCGGCATATGCCCAAGGCCACGGATAAAGTCAATCAAGAACGGTTACTGCTCAGACTAAGGGACTATGGCCTCAGTCTTGAATAGAATACCTAGTTCAGGAGTTATCTTTCTAAAAGACAGAACTGTGTAAGGATACCTGGCTTCTTGTTTCGTCATTTAATTTTTATGTCTGAAGTGCCCCAGGGTTCGAACCTTGAACCTTTGCTGTTCCTTGCTTTTATAAATGATTTGGCGTCGCCTGTAAGAAGCTCTGAAGTGCTTAAGTTTGCAGATGAAGTGAACTTGTTTCGGCAGGTCACCTCCATCTCTGAGTGTACTTTGCTGCAGGACGATATTTGTTCAGTGCTAGAGTAGTGCAGTTCTATCCCTCTTTTTTTAAATCCATACAAAACGAAAGTCATGTTCCTTTCAAGAAAAAGCAGCCATTAATCGTATGTACACGTTTTAGAAAATAAAACTTCCAGTCGGACCAAAAAGTTACGGGACCTAGAAAGTGCCTGTGGATAACAAACCCTTTTTTCCTTCTCAAGTAAACTCCCTTATTAGCCAATCTTTACGTACGGTGGGAATTCCTCATTTAACTAGAGCATTTAGCACACATTCCTGTCTTTGGAGACTATAAAGTTCCCATGTGCGTTCGAAACTAAAATTTGCATTTGTTGTGGGGAACTCCATGACCATATCAGCAAGTGAAAGTATAGAACATATTTAAAAGCGATTTGTACGCGTTATGTACAACATACATTTTGGTAGAAAATGTTTTTTGTGAATATATCTCGATTTTAGCCACGCTAACATTGTGCACCTTAAGAACAGAAGGTCTAGTAGAGATGTTCATTTTTTGCGAAGGTTATTTCATAAGGCAATAGACAGTCCTGTTCTCCTTACCTTTGTTCACTTTCGCATTCCGCTTAGAACGAACTCTACATATCTCGCAGTATTTAACCCAGACCCCATTCAGGGTGCATCAGCGGTTTTGCGTATCCAACATGTTTTAAACACCCAATTTCCTGGCATCGATATTATCAGTACAAACCTGTCTTTTGTAGAACGAATTTGTTTGCCTGTTTTAATATGTATATGCACATGCTTGTGTGCTTGCATATTTCACACAACTCTCTAAGGTCATATTTTATATACGTATTTGCAGTTTGAGCTTTAAGAGTTTACGCGTCTTATTTATTGTGTATTTCAAATGTGTGTGCTTAACCCAGTAGGCTTTCGAGCTGTTGGTTACCACAAGAAAAAAATGATTGGTTTATTGATTGATTGATTGATTGAAGCTCGCCTGAATTGAGATAAGGAGTGGAAATTTTAACGCACATTTTTTTCCAAGAGACGCTAAAACCCAAAACGTTCACAGGTAGCTTTCGATAACACTCAGGGAATTCATGTCATTGTTTTATGGAGGACTATCATTCACGTGAAAAATAACAAAAATCAAATACTGATCCTCAAAAACAGGCATCGATTCAGTGAGATTGAGCATCGATCCCTATCAACACATTATATGTGCTGTTGGGAATCAATATTTATGACACTGTATGAATATGTATCCCATGTTTCGCGTTTTACCGCAAAAGCCCTCAGGTTGAAAGTAAGCACGTGAAAATCAAAAATTGAACATTACAACGTGAATAACTGCCTTTTTAAACAAACGCACATGAAAGATATAGAGCTGTCAGACTTTTTACCAAACATATACGAGCTTCCAACACGTATTTTCAACATAAATAATATTTGAAGGCCGTCAGGTTTATGCGATTTTATCACACTCTTATTTTTTGTTTATTATTCCGAATACGTGTACTAAAACTTAAAAGGCGCTGAGGTGAAAAATTGTGTACGTGATGCGAGCTATTTTACTATTAATTTTGCATACACTGGCGATTTCATTTTGCTTTTATTGAAAAAGTGTCTGCTTAAATATTTAAGAAAATCTTGACAAACATGCTATGTGAATTCAGTACTGATTTACCACTTTGGGCTCGCTCCATTGCTGTTACATCAAAGTTCTTTGAAGCACCGGTTGATAGAAGGTGCGCATTTGGTGGCTGTGGCGATATGTCATTTCCTGCAGTTAATTCAAAGTTCATAAAATTAAACTTCTGAGATGAACTGGGTATTACCTTTCAGTCTTTCAGTGTAAAGCAAAACATTGGATGGTTGTACCAAACAAACTTTTAGGCACATTTAGTATTTTATTGAGAGAGTAGCACTATTCTTTTTTTTTTCTGTCTGACTCGAACTAATTACAATTGCTTGAATAACTTTACGATTTGTCCCATCACTGAAGTTTGAACATAAATATATATATTTTGTTATATATTGTACCTATATGAATATTGCAGAATAATTATATAAATATTGATGTGTTAGTGAACGAGACCATAATAAAGTATAATAAACTAACCACGGTGGAGTGCGACACCTTTGCATTGTGAATGTGCTACATCTTTTATGAATAGCTATGAAATGTTGAGGCTTACTTGAAACTTTTTTTGTGGTATGAGATCGCGTTTTGTAAAAATTGAAAACAGGAAATACCTTGAATGATATCATCCTCAAGTTATTACTAAATGCGAAAAATTGTGCTTTACATTTATGAATGCCGTACCAGCCAACAAAAAGTCGTTAGAAACTTAATACCTTCTGAAGATTGTCTCTCGATTTCAAATATTCTATGAGCCAGATGTCCTGCTGCATTGCGTTCGGCAGTATTTGTGGATGATATTCTCAGTCGATCCCCAATGATTCCTTCCTAAAATATATAAGCTGTTTTTATTTTTTTTATTTTAGCCACACACTACTTGTGACCTTCGCTATGTAAAAACTGCAAATTTGAAAACAAATAAATTTGACAATACATAAACATTAAAAGGAAAGCAGCATTACAGAGCACAAACCCGTCATCAAGACGAGTACAGGATTCTCTGAAATGTAGAGGAGTTTAGTCATGAAAACTATAGTAATAACCCAAGAGTTCGTGAATAAATATTTAGTTTATGACCACAAAGAGTCTTTATTAGAACTTTATTTACAGTTTTGTTTTTATATGTGTTACGTTTGCGTTCACTTTTTTCACTGACTGGTAAAATTGTTTGTGTTTTTACGCGGAAATGCAAGCTTACGGCTTTTTCACCTTTAATGTTAGACTGAATATTAAAAAAAATAATTGAGTTTAATAAAAAGTATTTTGTGAAAGTTAAAATTTAACTCTTCCAAAGAACGAACGGCACAGCATGTAACAGAGTGGTATTCCAACAAGTAAAAAATAATTACATTTAAAGAGTGTAATTTGGTGCATAAAGAATTATCTAGTTTGCACTTAAACAATATTGATCTTTTTGTGTTTTACGGAGATATAGCGTGTTAGCAACAATAATGTTTTACTAGCAACATTGCTTCTCCCGATAATTCTATTGTATGACAAGTTCAAATGAAAATGTGCCACCTGTGAGAGAAAACTAGTCATCGTACTACTTGTTTGAGCGAGCTGTGTGACTCTTTGAATACTAAATTAAGCGTACCGCATTTGGTGTTGATTCGCTCACCAACCAGAAATGGATATAAGTGAACAGGATAGTGAACAGGTCATGAAAACGGCGCAAAAAACACAGACACACAAGGACAAGTAGAAGAGGGACACAGACACAGCGCTGGCTCACGGCTTACTCTCTTGTGCGACTTCTTTAAAACACACCACATGTGAACAAGAAGACAAAGAAAAGAAAGAGAAGAGTCTCACATGTAGGAACATCATCACTGTCATTTGCTATCCGAAAAACTTCTAAAAACAAACTAGAAAATTAAAAAAAAACATTGATACATGGAATATTTTTAATAACGACGTAGCACAGCGCGATTATATACACTGATATTATATAAAATAAGAAGCATAAAATAAGCCATGTACGTAGTTCTCTCACAAATGCAAAAAAGGTGGATTTTGGTAGGGAAAGTTCGAAATCTAGTTTCGGTCTTGTAAAAATGAGAATAATATTTGTAAATAATTCAACATCGGACAATGCTTTTTCCGGCGGTTCGCATCGATTGTAAAATGTTATGAGATAGGTTCTCTATCGAGCTGAAAATATTATTCGCACAATCTAGAACCTGAGGAGGAGTCTAAAAGCTTTCTATCAATTCTACCTTTTTCATTCGAGAAAGAGGGGAGACCTCCTACTCTCTGCAGAAAGTAGCCCAACGAATCAATTTTTTAGGGTGTGAGAAAGGAGTGCGAGGAGGAATTGATTCTGTAGGTCGGCCCTTTAGGGTGACTGATATGGTGGTAGTAAAAACATTAAGGCAAATGATTTGTTCAAGTCTCCTGCCCAACTGTTGTTCACCTGCGTCGTCCACTTCCTGATTTTAATTACATCGCAGCACCTCTCGTCAAGGGCCCATCCACACGCTTGCGACGCCTTAAGAACGAGTACCTTAAAACATATTAAAACCTCTTTCGACGAGAGAACACACTGACAGGCTGGCACCATCTATGGCGGGACCCTGGAGCAGCATTTCATTACAGCGAAGGTCCTCCGGTATTTCCGAGGTCAAATATTCGTACTTCCTATGAGAAATGGCCGTTTATAACATTAACAGAAGTGTTTTAAGCCAAGAAAGAAAGAATGGTGTGCAAAACGAAATAGAAGATATACGGCAGCACCATGTGTTCCACGGCTATTCGATAGATTGCGCCAGTGTATTCTTTCGTCCTCTAAGGGATTTTAATAGGTTTCAATGCACACGGTCTTAAGAAGCCACAATTGCGTGAACGAGCCTTGAGATCACCACACCTGACTCTAGGCTTGGTTTACATGTCTGCGTCAGCGACGAATGTTTAGGTTTGCACGGTTTTTTTCCTCTTCATTTATCGCACATATCGAGCCACGTTTTAAAAAGATACTTCAACGAATTTTAAAATATTCCAGTCGTGTCCACGAAGAGGCTGGATATGATCCACGATATCCGTAAATGACAATGGCACGTTTGTATTTTGAGCCTGGACGGCTGTATTTTTCGTTATAAACGGCCCATTCTGGCAAGCGCTTGGAGAGCAGCCAGCGGAGAGCACATGACAGCTGCCGCAATCGTGACGTAGATTGTCTCGGAACGAAAAACACTGTGGCGAGGCTGACGACGAGAGGATGTCCTAGCCGTTCCAGCCACCGAAGCGGAACCCGTCACTCAAAATTCGTAGAAAAGCAGCTTTAGGGTTAGTTGCGGTGGCCCAATCGCTGGCGTGCTTCGGCCGCTTCGGTGGCTGGAACGGCTAGGATATCCTCTCGCGGTCAGCCTCGGCGCAGTTTTTCTCAGAAGTCGCTTTTGTCCCTCTAGAATATAGAGCGACCCAAGCGACTTTTGAGGCACACAAAAGAGAGTCTCGGGAAGAAGGGAGTTCCTCCGTCTCTCGTCGTGGCAGGAGGCGAGACAGTCATCGTCACAACCTGTCAAGGTTTCTATACTCGGCGACAACGTTTCTTGGCAATGCAGTGTGAGGCACGCGTTCTCTCTCCGATTTTCAGAGCTGAATAAAGCCTGTGCGCGGGCTCTCCTCCTCTCCACTGCATTTCCAAGGAACGTTGTCGCGGATTATTGACGGGCATTACATACGAGGTGTTAGCGACATTCACTAGGTTCTCTTTGCTAATCGTTTAATTCGTGTTAAAATTATTTTTCGTGTCTTGTTCAACAAGAGATTGGTGAGTCTGATCTGATAATGCTCCCTTGAACACGAATACATCAAGAAATAAGCGTCGAAATTTAGTTGCAGTGTCCCTTTAAGAGATGGTTAAGTACGCCGGTGCTGAAAATTTTCGCTCGCTATAGTACACCATGTAAACTACCGCTTTAAGGCACTTTAGACAACCCGGAAAATCGGTTTCTCAACTTATCGGCCAGCAAGTTACTACAGGCATGTTAGCAAGTAATAGCAAATTACAGATAAAAAATAAAAAAAAATTAATTTTTCTCGTTAAAAAAAATTTGTTTTGGCAAATTTATGCCGCCACTCCGCAGACTATGCTCGCGTAAAAAGACTCCCTGCCGACAGGTGGCGTGCGCCGTGTCGAGGGAGCGCCGGCCGATTAGTGTTATTTTATGAGATCGTCTGCTATCCACCTGAATCGGCCGGCGCTTCCTCGACGTGGCGTACGCCATGTGCCGGCAGCGCTACCCTCTACGCGTGCATCGTCTGCGAAGTGGCGGCATAAATTGTCCTGAACCGGTTTCTTTTTTAGAGCGCAGCTCTTAGCCGCCAGTTTCCGGCTTGAGCGGCGTCGCCGTCGCCGTCGGCGTAACCATAACGCATCGGCGTGACGCGTCGGTGTAGCCATAACACGTCGGCGTAACGCGTCGACGTGACGCGTCGGCGTCGCCATCGCCGTCGGCGTAACCGTAACACGTCGGCGTAAAGGCCCATACCCACATTCGCGTTTGAACGCGTTTGAGTGCGTTGCGGAGTCCTTGCGGCCAGGCGAAGTCGCTTGCGGAGCGACGCGCGCCTCCCCGCAACGCTCGGTAGCGCGACGCAAGCGAGTAGAGACTCGTTTAACTTTCCGAAGCGTTGCGGTGCGTTCGGGTGCGTTCGACCAATCAGAAGCCGAAAGAGGAGAGGGGGTGACGTGTTCGCTCGCCCCACCCGGCCGACTCGGCGACTGCGAGACGTATCCGGTTCGCCGGTCGCAGTGCTTGCTTTTTCGTTTTGGGGAGCGGTGGGGACTGTATAGACCATTCCATTTAGCGCTCTCTGGGCGGCACCATTTTGTGCGACCGCAGCGCCCTCTCCACACATCCGGGAAGTTCAGCGGGTTCGGCGGAGCACACGAGAGAGAGAGCACGCGCCCGACTCCGCTAGCAGACGACAAACCGGGAGGTTGCCGTTCTCCATCTTTGGGCTGTATCGGCGGTCTCTAACGAACATCGAACTCTCGCTCGTGGCTGCCGTTGTGAAGTGGTTCGCGTTCTTAGGATAGTTGTGGCTACTCCAAAATCAGCCTATAGCTCTCTGTTGTTCTATTTTGCTAAATGATCAACTAGCATATCTTTTTTCCGTTACTTAAATAGCAGTTGAGTCAGCCGGCAGTACTACCCTTAACTACTGCTTGTATTGTGGCAGGAGAGCACGTTTTATTTATTATTTCAGACTTCCACTCACGGTCGCTAAAGGCCTACACCAGTACGAACTTGTGTATAGTAAAAAAAGGTACAGCCACCGGATTTACTTTTCGCCAAAGAGACCGGCCAATCAGACACAGTTTTCCCAATCACTTTTGTTTTATTTGCACGCAGGTAACAGCGCAATTGGACCCCGTGAGTCTTTTTATCTAGCATAATATTACACGATAACTGGCATATCAAAATCTGCACATCTGCGCTTGAAAGTTCCAAAATGACGCGATATTAAACAGAGTTTGCACGCCAGCCGGACGCTACCTACAGCCCACTCGGCGGGGCGGACGTCATCCGGGGTGAGAGGGGGAGCGCATTTTTTTCTCTTTTACCCTCTCTGCTATAACCCTAATGGAACGGTCTATTTTCCAAGGCTGCGACGGTTCAAGCTTTACAAAACGTCGGGGAAGCCGGCGAGATTGTCCCAAGATCGAACGCTTCGACGCTGTCGCCGTGCGCCGCCATGTTGCCTTGGATTTCGCTTACTATTGGTGAGCCACTAGTGACGATAACGCGTTCTTATTGGCTCTTGACTGCGGTTGACTGCGTGTCAACGCAACTGTGCGTACAAGTTTGGCGCAAGCGGTCTTCGCAACGCAACGCGTCCGCTTGCCGCTACGGAACGCACCGCGCTCAAACGCGAATGTGCGTATGGGCCTTAACCGTAACACGTCGGCGTAACCGTAACACGTTGGCGTAACCCGTCGCCGTCAACGTAACCGCGCGGTGCATTATGGGTGTGACTGCTGACTGCTGCGCGCGTGGTTCACAAAGTTGTAGGAACTTTCGGAAATGTTCGCTAAAACACCCGGTATCGCTACATTAAGAGGTGCCACTTCAAAAACTTAGTACAGGAAAGAAAATCAACATCAAATGCCTAGTTTTAAAATTTCAGGTGTTGATTTTATTTTAGGATAAATGCTGTTCCCATACCACACGAAGTCCGTCGGTGTCGGATACCATAACGGCGGCTCCACGTTCCGTGTCGTGATACAAGTTCTTCTCAATTAATTCTGATGGTACCTGCAAGTCACATAAAATCATCATAAAACAGCAAAAAGGTTTCGGTGCAAAATCCTTTAATGTAGCTGCAATGTAAATATTATGTACCATAATGAAGCTCGAGGAAAAGCACTTAATTACTTCATTGCTTTTCTTATATGCTGTTTATATCCTATTATATGTTTATATATGCTTATCTATATAAATATAAACATATTATATGTTTATATCCTGCTTATATGTGTTTGGAGTTTGAGTAACTGTCTACCTGTGCGTTGGTTCGTAAATATGTTGAGACGTTAAATGCTTTATAATAACAGTGCTTCAAGCATGAAAACACAATAAAAAGACAGTAAAAATTATAAATGTGCGCCGTATTTTGATTTCTCAACATTAGTTTAACTGCGAGCATTATTGTTTTAGGTTTTTTTCTAATATTTTATATTAGAAAAAATATAGTCAGCAGGCTCGATCTAAAATAGACCGAAAAAATCGACGCCTTCACGCAGCAATCTAAACTTTTCGTCAAGGGTATATTTCACTATGTCGGCTTTTCTTGTAAAATTACAAAGTGTTGCTCCCTTCTTGTAAAAAAATGCTGCCAAAAAACTTGCCAGGATCAGCGGCGGGCGGCGACGCAGACGGCCAAGTCGAGTCGCGGGACGCGTTTGGTGCGCGTATTGATAGATGGCGTTGGGAGCAGCATCGGAAGGTGTAGCCGACCGGTGAGAGAAAGCAGACGACAGGCAGACGAAATCCGTTGGCAGCAAAAGCGTCGTCGTCGTACAAACGCTTTTACAGCGAAGCTGTAAACCTCTACCAGCCAAGGAAAGTTTCGTGTCGTCGTTGTAAGCAAAAAACGCATGGCGAACAATTGAAGGCAAAAGAGCATATCTCTTTTGAAACCAGGCATACAGCCTACAGCTCAGTATCCGTTTCAATAAAGAAAACCACAATGCAAGCATCAAAACCACATGATGCACGATAAGGCGTGTGTGACCAATAGGAACACCTTCCCACGCGTCCCAGTAAAGATTAGGTTTGCAGTTGTTTCGGAAGGGGTTGGCGTCATTCGAAGCTCTCGTGTCCCGAAGGAAAAATCCATCAATGTAACCCTGTTTGGCAGTCAATGTTTTCTAGTGGAACGCTGACTGTGCCTGACTGTACGTCAAGCATGTCTGATTGGCCAACAAGTTACTCTGACCGACAGTCAAACTCCAGTCAGACTCCGCTTGTCGGCTTTCTGATGGTTTCCTGGTGGCAGTCGGCCGCCGCGAAATGCCATCAGGATGTCTTGGTGGCGATTCTGATTGTACATCGACTGGTTCTGACTGTACGTCAAAAAGCTTTGACGTGCAGACAGACGTACGGTCAAAGGACGTAAAGTTCGTTCGGACACCACTATTTCGTCAAATCTATGAATACGAAAAGTAATCCATGCACGAGAAAATGATTTCGGGACGTGAGCCCATAAAACCGCTGACGTTAGAGATGTGACACGCAACCGACCGACAACCTTGATCAGAAGCCCGCCGAAGCGCCAAACACGACACTTCGCCGACTTCGCTTCGCCCATAGAGGCTTCGCCGAGCTTTCATGAACGATCGCTCTCGACTCGTTTTGTTTCCCCGCTTGCTCCAACCTGTTGATGCTGCCCGGATTCTACAATGTCTTATGTTTTAGTAGAATTTCTACTCGAAAAGACCCAGCCTGTTGTGAGTTTCGACGATGTAAGGGACTTTAGCGGTGTAGTTGAAGACGACAAGGTGTACCAGGTCTACTGGGCCGGAGACGCGCGAACAAAAGGATCGTTCTATGACGCGAAAGTACTCTACATGGCAGGTGAGTAGAACTGAAGTACGGCGAAAGATGTACGAGTGCTTTGCATAACATGCAGACGGCTTAACTGCATTTGCAGCCGAAGCATCTCGTATAAAACGAGTACTCAAATCGAATTTCCTAACAGGAGGCATAGCATAGGGTTTAAAATGTTCGATTTGCGCGCAAGTGGTCGCGGGTTCGATCTGGGGTGGTCCAGCTTCTCTTTTTTTTTCTTTTTTTTCTTGATCATTTTCTTTTATCGAGGCGTTTGGCGATATTTATGAGTGCGTATTGCTTTACTCTTATATAAATGCTGCCCTTGTTGATGAAATTCCCTTGGCAGTGGCAGTCAGACGTCATCTGATGGACCATCAGATGACGTCTGATGGTCCATCACGTTCCACCAAGGCTGCTGACTGGCAGTCAGTGTCCCAAATTACGTAGCTTGATGGAATTTTCAATAGGGGTGAAGTGCAAACCGCATTATGGTTGATAACGGCGCCTGCTGCCAAGGCGACGGCAGCTTGCGACTTGGAGAGTGACGTCACTAGCCTTTCATGTATAAAAGAAGAACCCGCCTATACCCTGTTTATTTATTTATTTATTTATTTATTCTCTGCATCGCCGGAGCATTACAGCAGAGGAGTGTGTTACATGATTCACATATATCATTATAAATTGGAAAGTCACACAACAGCACACATCAGCAATTTCCAACAACATCAATAAACATGATTCACACCAGCACACAATAGCAATATTACGAAAAAACCAATGATGTACTTAACACAGAAACTTACATTGCATTAATAAGGCTAATAAAAGAGTCACTGTTAGCTGATACAATATCAGACGGCAGTTCATTCCATTCCGATATAGTTCTCGGAAAAAAAGAAAACATCATATAGTTAGTTCGACATTTTATTTCGCGTATTTTTTTACGTGGTCCCTCCTACTCGATATATACTGGGGCATTTCTAGATAATTAGACTTGTCTATTCCAGTTAAATCATTGTTGATAGCGTAAATAAGTTTAAATCTATTTTTCGTACGTCTTTTTTCTAAAGGCTCGATACCCATACAAACTTTCATTTGTGTCACACTCTCTGCTCGAGAATACTTATTCTGAATAAACCTCACAGCGCGATTTTGAATGCTTTCTATCTTATCTATGAGATATTTTTGGTGCGGGTCCCATACGGCACTCGCATATTCTAGATGTGGTCTAACTAGTGAGCGATACGCTGTCTCTTTCAAGATTTGTGGAGCAGAGCGAAGATGGCGGATGACTAAGCTAAGAACCCTGCCAGCCTTTTTCATGATCAAATCTATGTGCTGATTGAACGAAAGGTTCTCTGAAAGAATGACACCAAGATTTTTAATTTCAGACACTTTCCGCAACGAGTCTCGACCAATAGCATAAGCCGAATCAATAGTATGTTTCTTTTTACTAAAAGCGACATAAAAACATTTGCTTGTGTTTAACCCCAGTTCCCAGGTCCCGCACCATAAACTAACCCGGTTCAAATCCTCTTGCAAAGAAGAGACATCGTTAACGTTCCTTATTGTTCTGTAAATTACACAATCGTCCGCGAATAATCTGATATTAGGAGAGATGGAAGACGTTATATCATTAATGTAGATTAAAAATAAAAGTGGTCCCAGCACTGACCCTTGAGGTACCCCCGAAGTTACATCTACGTATTCTGATCTTTTACCCCCCAGGACGACGCACTGTTTCCTCCCACTCAGGTAGTCTTTTATCCACCGGAGCACATTACGGTCGATATTTAAAGCACTCATTTTGTGTAATAACAATTGATGCGAAACAGAATCGAACGCTTTGCGGAAATCCACAAAAATGGCATCCGTTTGCAGTCTGTTTTCAGCCGCACTAACTAAATCATGATAGAGCTCAAATAATTGGGTACTTCAGGAGACACCTCTACGAAAACCGTGTTGGTCAGGGCAAAAAAAGTTATTATCTTCTAGGTGCTTAATTATACCACTATAGACAATATGTTCAAATATCTTACATGATATACAGCTCAAGGAAATCGGCCTGTAATTGTCAACAATTGATTTTGGACCATTTTTATGAATTGGTACAACATACGTTTGTTTCCATTCTTTGGGGAGCAATCCGCTTTCAAGAGATTTACAAAAAATTACATAAAAGTATTGTGAAACTATACACGAGCAGGCTCTTAATACCTTGGGGGACATCTCGTCTGGACCGACGGCCTTGTCTTCTTTTAAAGAGTTTAAGCAATTTCTTATTCCCTCTAGCGTGATTATGACGGGAGGCATAGCATTTTCCACTCTATCTGTAAAAATCGGCAACTGTTTCACCTTACATCCGGACTCAGCGCATGCTACGAGCTAACTTGGCCAACCTCGTTCTGTGGGCGTGGCCTGTGATACGCTTTCCGCGCGTCGCTGTGCCCCCTCTCTGAGGTCACGTGACACTCACGTGGCCTCCGATTGGCTCCGGTGGCTCGTAACATTCGCTGCGCTTAAACGTAAGATGAAACGTAGTATCGCAACTGATTTCATTGTTGCTGCAGCACCACGATGAATAGGCCACGCATAGTTAGGACTCCCGAGGAGCAGCGGGAATATTATGAGCTGCAAAGGGAAAAGAAACGCCAATGCGACCAGCGGTGGCGTGCTACGACCGGCGGCGGCATTTCGCGTAGTGCAGTAGGCCATCGTTGCAGGTGATACCACAGCTTCGCTGAGCAACCAACCACCTTTACAGCGTAGATGGTAGCCCCCAATTTTAATTTAAAGGTTTGCTTTTATTGTTCGCAATTTTCTAACCACAGGTAGTTTACAAAAAGATTAGGTTAATTCTAATAAAGCACGGTGGTCGCGAGCAGTCTCGATAAGGGGGTAGCGCCATCTATCTATGCGATTGTCAAACGCGCCCCGCTACTCAACTTGGTCATTTGCGTCGCCGCTTGCGGTTGAGCCTGGCAAGTTTTTTGGCCCTATTTTTTACAGAAAGAAAACTACGCTTCGTAATTTTGCAAAAAAGAAAAACCCGACTTGTGAAATACACTTTTGACGAAATGTTTAAATTGCTGCGTGCAGACGTCGATTTTTACGGTCCATTTTAGATTGAGCCTAGTGAGTTGGGACACCCAATATTTGTATTATAGCAAACCGATACAGTCGAGCCCGCTTACAACGAACCCTTCTACAACACGAAACGCGTTCGCTCAAAGAGAAGTTCGTTATAAATGGACTTACCCTTAAAATTCAAGATAAATAAGTATGCACGGCACGGATTGGAAAGCGCAACACCTGCGATCGATGTGCATGGCGTTTATTCAAGGAAGTCCGTAATCGCTGTTTGCTTCCGCAGTGCAGATCCAATTATAGCGCTCTCCAGGTTGCTCAGCTGATCGATGTGAACATCGCTCAGTCCCCGTGCGTACACCAGCTGCTTCAACGAAGCTATGTGCCCCAAAGCCGTCGCTGTCGAAACCGGAGGTGAGGGAGCAACCCCATCGCCGACGTCGTCTTCGTCGTCCTCTTCGTCGTCGGACGCCGCGATGTCCTGCCGCACCTCCCGCACGATAGCTTCATCGGAGGCGCACTCCGAGACGATGACATCTTCGTCGGCGTCAACGAAGTCGTCCCACGTCTGCCCTTCCTCTGTCAGACTAGCAGCAACGGCTTGGGTCCACAGGGTCGAGTCGATGCTTTGCGCATCGTCTTGGCTTGCTTCCGCAGGAGATTGCTCCGCAGGAGAAAACGAAATCCCAGCTTTTCGAAAGCAGTTCTTGATGCTGCCAGACCTGACTTCCATCCAGGAGGCTTTCAGCATTTCCACTGCGTTCATGAGAGAAATTGTCAGCTGAGGCCCTCGCGCACTTGGTCGGCCGATTGCGATGAGCAGCCTTTCGATGACGCGGCGGCGGTAGCACACTTTGAAATTTCTGATGATCCCCATGTCGAGGGGTTGGAGCTTGGCAGTGGCGTTCGGAGGGAGGAACATCAAAGTCACAGCATTCAGCTGTGGGTTCACATGATGAGCTGAGCAATTATCCAGGATCAACAGGATCTTTCGTTTTTGCTTGACCATGGCATTGTCAAGCTCCGTGAGCCATTCGGCAAAGAGTTGCCGAGTCATCCAAGCCTTGGCACTGTCTCGGTACCGTACGGGCAGGGGGTTGGTGAAACAGCGCGGTTTCTTCGCCGTTCCAATCACAAACGGCAAGCGCCTGTCGCTGCCGTCTACATTACAGCACAGGAGCACAGTTATCCGCACCTTGCTGTGCTTCCCACCGACGCATTTGTCGCCCTTTAACGCGTGCGTACGCACAGGCCTCATCTGGTAAAACAACGCAGTTTCATCCGCGTTGTAGACATCTCGCTCACTGTAGCTGTAGATCTCGTCCAGGTTGTCAGCAAGCCACTGCTCCGCTCTCTCTATGTCCACGGATGCCCCTTCCCCGACGATGGACTTGTAAACAATCCCGTGGCGCTCCTTGAAGCGATGGAGCCATCCGTTTCCAGGGCTGAACTCTGTGAAATTCAGGAGAAACGCGAAGTCCCTGGCTTTCCCAAGCAGCAGGGGTCCGCTGATGGGGACGTTCATAGTTCTTGCGTCGAGAAACCACTTGAAGAGAGCGTCTTCGACGTCTTTGTACGCGGCGTGCCGCAGCCGTTTTCGAGCACTGCAGTCACCATTCATGCTCATTGCTGCCATGATCTTCTCCTTTTCCTTGGCGATCGTCGAAATGGTGGACTTCGATAAGCCATATTTCTTGCACAGTTCGCCGTTTTTCGCCCCTGCGCTCAGCTCCTGAAGGATTGCAGATTTCGTGCCCATGTCGATCGCCTTGCGTTTCTTCGCAGTTGAAGCAATGTCCGACATAACGATCGATGACTCGGCGAGTGACCGTAGACTGAACGATTGCGCGGAGGTCGAGCCGAAATGCCGAAACCAAACGACGAGAGGCAACACGCTTCAGACGGAACGAAAGACAAAAGACCGCGAAACCCCAACACTCAAAATAAAAAATAAAAAAAAATGCAAAAAAAAAAAAAGGGGGCTTTGCACACGGCCTTAACGCTTCGAGCAGAACGCGTGCAAAGCGTTGGGCTGGGAGGCCTGATTGTCTTGCTTTCCCCTTTCGTTCCCTCTTCCCTCCCCATCCCCCTCCCCAAGAACCCGACGCTGTCGGGGTGTTGCGCTGCCGGTGCTCCTCCGCGTTTTGCGCCTCCTCTCCCCTGCCTTATCTCCGCCGGCAGCCAAGGTCGCGGCGCCGTCAGCGCCGTTTCGTTCGTTCTATCCGAGAATTGCGCACAGAAATGGCCGTTAAAAGTGGGCCGTTTTGTGCAGGATTCTTGCGAAATATGTTTGGGGATGAGAAATTGTTCGTATTAACCGAACGTTCGTTTTAAGTGGGGCCGTTATAAGTGGGCTCGACTGTATATCAGTATCCCTTTTTTTAACAAAAATGTTTGTCTGTGATCATTAATTACAAAACAATATATATGTAGCTGCCAAGAAATAAGTACACGTCACTTACGTTGCGTGTGAGCATAGTATCCCCATCAAACGACGACAACTGAATTGTGTCCGAAAACACAGACGTTCTTCGTAGATTAAGCACGAGGTCCTGGTTAATTCTTAAGGTGAGCTCGCCCGCCGAACTCCTTTCTTCGATAAGCGTCGGGAAAATGTTTCTGTTTTTGAGAATCCCTAGGAGTGTAGAAAAAGCGCTGGGTAAGATTTTGTACAGTTTATATCTTCGCAATTCTCAAACATATTGCGTTACAAGTTGAACTTGATTCTATCTTCCGAATAATGTGACCTTTTTTTCGTAGTAGGAAAACGAGGAAACTTTCAGAAAGGCGATGTATGAATCGGGTACTTTCGCCACTTAAGCAGACAATCGTGAATGCACTTCATTCCGGACAGACAATATGCGCTTCGAAATATTTAAAGTAATCGCGAAAATTTAATCCGATTGCATGTTTCACATCCAATAAATTACAATAATTTAAATTGATGTCTTTGCAGCGCTGGGTTACTATGCATAATGTTTAGTTGCAGTATACCGTGAACTTATAACGTTCGAAAGCGCCAAACATTTTTGCAGTCATAGAAAGCACTCTTCTCCTGACCTTTTTCTTATTTCTTCAGTCACTGCATATTCCTTACGTAAATTCGATTAGAGTCACTACGGAAACAATATGATGACCTTCAGATACATATTTTTATTTTAAAACTATACAGCATGGGCGCTGCTGTTACTTGATTTCAAAGGTCGAGCATTATCCAGAAGTGTGTTTATAAAAAAAATAATTAAAATTAACTATATATTCAGGGGGTATGGTTGGTTGTGCACAGCGAAAAAACATTACACAGGTGGAAACATTTTACTAAAGTACAAAAGCACACTTACCGGCATTGCAGATCTGGCTATGATATATTGCACAATATAGGACTATCAGAACGGGAATCGATCCTCGCGCCATTCTAAACAATAATGACTTTGCTTCTTTGAAACAGGCTTAAGGCATCGGCGATTTATTAGCCTGCAAATTTATAGAACTCATTAAAGGTCAACTTTCTTGCTTACTACGCATTCAGCGTGCGTCATGGCCGCCTCTGGTCGCCTTTTTCATCGTTAACGAATCGTTGTATAGGTCGCTGCAGGGCCAACTCATTGTGCCGGTCATTGCTCCAACATCCGCTTTCTTGACTCGGTTAAATGTGTTTAAAAGTGAGATGGAGTCAACACGAATTTCTGTACAATTCATAACGTATGTGTGCAAGCCTTCGTAATACGCATTTCTTCGAATACCACACGAACCCACAAAGCTATACTCGGAGGGCTGCCGGATGCATGGCGTTCTGCCGGGCGCGAACGTATTCGGGTGTGATGAGGCATGTTAACACGGGAAAAGACACGCTGACCACATAGTTATACATAGATATTGCAATATAACGTTAATGGGGAAATGGTGGTAATATCTGGCCAAGGCAAATTTGGAAATGAATTTCTAGCTTCTTGGTATGCCGTGAAGTCTTAGCCGAAACTGAAAGCTAAAATTAAAGGAGGTGTACTTGGATTTGTCAAGGAGTATGTCTCAAAGTTTCACCTTGCTACGTTCACCTAAATCAATTTGCTACGCACGCACCCGCTGAACAACTAAGAAGAATGGGAATGGCCAACCTTATGTCTGTTTCCTTTTTTTTTTAATTCTAAAAACGTTAGTTCTCCAACTGAAGGAAAATTTTTTTTTCGGGCACAATGCATCATAAGAATTCAGCCGTTATCGCCATACAAATGTATCCCCATAGTTCTAAACAAATAACTTGTTTTTGTATGTCTCACATTTAAGTACGCTTTTGAGTGTGATCCTCGCTTCTCAAAACAATTCTGTATCTCGTTACAAGTTTTGAGGAATCGCTGCCTTTAAGACAAACAAACACATACTTTGTGTCATTCTACGTTGAACTGTGGCAAAAGCTACAGGTCCTCAGATCCAGTCACAATCTGTGTAGAGACGACGAGCATTTCAGCAAAGCGAAGATAATAAAATCATATTTGACGGTTGCGTTTTTACAGTGTAAGATCGGTGTGTCCTTGAGATGTGACGATACTGGTTTGCACTGCATATGAAAGATTTAGCCAGTGCCGTACGATAGGCTGCTTGCCTGGGTCTTTAACGTGCGTCACGCAGCTGTTATACATGACCGCGCGCCGGTACGACGCTCATCCAGATCAAAACGGGCACGAGTAATAAAGGTATCAGCGAGCATCAAATTTAATCGATTAAGCTCGGAGCACGTGAAGCGAAAGCTTGAGCTGCAGAACACGGGGTCCTGGTTTCATGCGCCCAAGTGTTCGGGGCCCAGTTGACTGCGTGGTGTTGTTGACGACGCTGAAGTTTGTTTGCACACGATCGGAGATTACGGCCGTCATTGCTGATCTTCTCTTCTCTTACCGAGGTACGGAGCCACTTGAATCGGGCGATGACGACCCTCCACAAAGGCCTGTGCTGGGGAGATAGACACCGTAGAATTTCATATGACAATAACCCGCCCTGCTGTGGTAATGATCAAAGTCAAATTTGGGGGTTTTACGTGCCAAACCTACGACGGGCATCTGGCACGCCTTAGCGGAGGACTGAGGATTAATTTGGACCACCTGGGTCTCTTTTGACGTGCAACCGAAAGCTTGGTTACACGGCGCCTTCTCCGCAATAAGCCTCCGTCATATTGCGGGCACCTCGGTAGGGATTCGAACCCGCCACCTGGGGATCCGTAGGCCGGCGCTCTCGCCTGGGAGCCACCGAGGCGGCCAGTGGTAAACATCAAGTGAAGTGAACGGAATAAGAGAAAGTTAGAAAAAGATCGGGGTATACCTAAGCAGTTCTTATGAGTTGTGAATGCGCAATCATGCAAAGCCGGTCGTGTACTCCCTTATTTGGTCTCCTGCGTACTTTTTGTCGCCGGTCAGCGCGCGCGCTCTCCTGGGCGCGCTGACCTTGGACGCTCCGTGTTAACGGCGCGGTGACGGACAGGGGGCGCCATGGGAGGAGCGGTCGTTGAAGCCGACGCGCAACGGCCAATGGGAGCTTCCTCGACGCGCGCCAGCCAATGGGACCGAAGCTGAAAATAATCAGCTTTACTGCGCTGTTCTGGGATCGGGGAATTTTGGAGCCGTTGGCTACCTTTTCGCGTGGTTTCATAGCTGGGAGATGCCTTCACTCGGAGAAAGGATTTAAGGTGCCGTTTTCGCGGCTCGCTTCACGAGACCCCCCCCCCCCCCCCCCTCCCCAATTCACGCTTTCGTATTAAAACAGAAGGTCTAATAGGTGGCGCCCATGCACAGCTGCCGCAACGCGTCTATGGATGCTTTCAGCACACTAAAGGCCCGTTCACAAAAACATCGGAGCGCTATAATCAAAGCGCTGACTTCGCGATGAGCGCGTGCTCATGGGAGCGTTCACAGTATTTGTATCGCAGCGTCAAAACTGTTGCTCATGGCAGATGATAAGTATCTGACGACGCATGAAAAGCGCTGTATCAGCTCTCCAGTGCATGTGGGAACCGGCCTTAAAACTGCTCTCGCTAACCCGCGCTTGATCAATCACTGAGATCTACAGCGCGCCCAATGCATCAGCGAGGTTCAAACACAGTTTGGTTCGCTAATTCAGTTTGCCCAAGGGAAATGCACAGGACGCATAGCTTCAATGGGTTTGCAGCAGACCCTGTTTTCAAACAAAGAATCTTTTTTGCGCCCCGTTGTTCGCGGGACGCAGACACTAAAACGCAGCGGTCGGTGCAACACGTGCTTTCTGCAGAATAAGAGCTCAGGCATTTTTAAAGAGCAGTATAGCGAGCGCTTTAACGAGGGAGCAGCAGCAGAATAAGATGCTTCCACGTCTGCTTGCTTAATCTGGCAGAGAAGCACCACTGTTTGTGTGCTCCACTCCGAGTTTCGTTTTTATACTGCGGTGATTGCCATTTCGGGTCACGATTCGTGCGTTATAATTAACAAAAGCACGCTGTACACGGCTTTACCCCGGGCACGAATTCGGCATATCTTCCCGTTTTATATTATAGAGGTATTAGCGCGCATCAAATTTGGTCGATTAAGTTAGTGTCAAAAATAGGCACTTTCCATCACACCGTACTTGAGGAAACTTTTTTCTGACACTTCAAAGGAAATAAAAATCACGAGTGCACAGTTTTGATGGGCGCTCAATGAGTACGAACGAATTTTCACCCATATATTTGACTTCGTTGCCAAAAGAAGACGTTCTCAAGCATGGTAGTATTGACACAAGCATATAAATAAAAAAGGAGGAATTCAGTGTTACGTTGAACATTGCCCTGTTCACGCGCAAATCAGCGGAAGTTAAACTCGTAAGTAGGGCAGCCTCGACTACACAACTAAACCTCTTTTGATACATTTTTCCCAAACCACCTCGACGCCGTTGCTGCACACTGACCAAGGCTGGAACTGTCTGGTGCTCCTTTGAGTCACAACAAACTTGTTTGTTTTTATAAGTAAGCAAGTTGTTGACACGTGTGTCCGAAAGTTAATTTGAATAATAAAAATATAACAATAATCCATAGAGTTCGCCAGAAATACCCTCACACGTTTTGGGGAGTATAAATATTGAGGTGAATGAGAAATGCAGCTAGCATTCATACTAAAATACATTCATACAAATTAACGTATCGAAAACGCAGCTGAACTACATTTAAATACATAAAAATATTTTTTTGCGATACAAATAGAAAAAAAGTTTGCCTAGGACGAAAATACTGGCCTGAAATTAATTGCGCGCACCTGGTAGTGAAAATTTAGAAGAAAAAATGGAAATTTTTTACTCTTTTCTGTCATGCGAAATTGGAGCAGAGCTCTTGAGGTATTTTAATTTGGCGATATACCCTGGCAAAGAATTTAAAGGAGAACTATAAAAAAAAAAGAAAAAAAACTGCGCTCTCAAAGTCAACGTGATTTACAATAATCTAAAAAAAAGAACAAAAAACATAGGATATCTTTGTTCAGACAGCAAAGAAGCCGACGCACGGTAAGATGACATCTGATTTTCGAGTTTTACATTGCCGAGGCAGAAATTAATTCTTGTTTTTTTTTTTCTCATCAAAAACGAAGAGTATCTAGTGTTCTGCATATTCTACCCTTCTCGTGAAAGACACTATGTGCATTTATTTTAATGTTCCTGGCGCCTTATTAAGCGGTGATATCGTTAGATCATGGTGGCATAAATCGGTGTTTTCTTATCACTCGGTCGAATCTGAACACGACATTTTTACTTCAGCTCATGCGTACTTGAGCTAAACATACTTGTACTCGCAAGCTTTGACAAGCCTTGTGCGAACAACTTCTTTAACATTTAGGTTATTTGTACAATAGGAAATAACGGCACATGTGTGATCTTTCAGCGCTTATTCCTCAGTAAACACGCTCACAGCCACTAACCCGTAGGCGCGTGTGCCTACAGGTGGCTGTTAACTTGTTTACTGAGGTATTATTTCTAAGTAAACAAGTTCACAGCCAACGACCTGTAGACGGATGTGCGGTGCGTGAAATTTATTTTTTTACACAGAGCTAGCGCGTGTGTTCGCAACTCATTCCTGAGTCCAGTAGACAAACATGGCGGTTAGTAGCTGGCGATTTTTGGGATGGTCACAAGTGAGAGACAAAGTGTTAATGCGCCCCCATCACTGCGCATCAAGCTCACCCCAGCAAAAAAATAAAAATAAAAATACCAACAATAAACTGTTGGCTTTACTTCGTCTTATTCAACAATGGACTTCAAGCAAACCCGCTACGTGCTGCCGGTTCTAGTTACAAGACACTTACAAACCACGTGGTGCACTGCTCGGGTGTCCGCACGTTTCAGTGAACGAATAGCATTGCAGTACCGCGCACACGCTTGGACCACGTGAATTGAAAGCTCCAGCGGCAGAACACAGGGTTCCGGTTTCCTGCGTC